TAAATCGCTACTCATATTGGCATACAATACCGCCACTAACTTTTGAAATTTCTCCGCTGAGCGACGGATTTGCAGCGTCGCAAAGCGTCGCCCCTTCATAACTCCCCCCAAAGCGGGTCAAATGATTGGTGCTCTACACCATTGGACTCGTCTCTCTGTGGCGAGTCTAACCATGTGGAAAACTACGGTACTCGCCGTAAAAAATCGAAAAAAAAACACGCGAAAAACGCGAAATTCGCGTTTTTTTTTCGTTTTTTCGTTATAACTCGCTTCAGAATTAAGATTTTCGAAATCTGAAAAAAGCATTGATTTCAGCTCGTCGAGTTCTATAAGAATGTGTTTTTAAACTTTTGGAAAGCCCACTTCAGATTGCGCCATGCACTCGAGCTTTGGCTCGAGAAAAAATTGTTTGAATGTGGTGCGCATATAATCCCGCTTATGCATCATGATCGTTCTTCAGAGAGATGGGTCTCAGCAGTTGCCCCAGAACGCGCCGCGTATTCAACATCGTCCATTGTATTGTGAATGGATCGATTGCTTTTTTCCAGATTTCATGGTCCCTATTCCACAGCGGCGCGTTAAATGACTTAACACGTAGTCCCTGCGCTCAACATCTCCTCCTCTCGTGTTCAAATGGAAATCATAGATCAATTCTCGGCTGGACAGTTAGCCTATCTGGTGAAATTTTCCAATGTTTGAGCGAAGGTTTTTCCGAAATCTGAGGAGGTAGCGGGAAAATTCTCTTTACTGTTGTAGAGTACGCTTACTTGAGTGTAGAAATAAGATGACATACTTGCTTGTAGACGAGCGCTTCCGCCGTGCTGTGGCTGTGAAAATGCCTCCTCGTCATGCCCTTGTGGAAAGATCAGATTTTTTGCATTTCCAGATGAACTCGCAGACCTGAGATGTGCCCCATTGGATTCCCCGTGAAAAATGCTATCGAATGATATGCATTACTCCTCCCAGTTGAAACTTTGGTTTTTCACCGTTTTCAGCCTTCCCCTATTGCCGATTGGGCATCATTATTCCACTATTACTGCCCCAAAATCTCAAAGTTTCATTTTTCGTCGAAACTTTGCCTATTGGGGTAATTCGATGCCCTGATTACGAATATGACATTCATTCTCGTAGTGTGGCCCCAAACATCACACCTCGCCCCATTTTTTGCGACATGTTCCATGTTTAGAGCAGATGTTATGTAGAAAGCTGTGAAGGCACGTAATTTACTTCGTATAGGCGACAATCGCCCCATCCCCCTGTTGCGGACGTGCGCTCGTCCGCATCACCAGACTTTCTGTAATTGATCGATCTGATAATTTGGTCTCAAAAATCTCGCTGAGTCCCAAGGATTTAAAAAAGCGGATAGCTTCGCTGGCCTGATGCCAAGGCAAGAGGAACGGAACAGAATGTGTTGCGTGGACGAGTTGTCCGGCCACGGCAGCATATGGTAATTACGTCCTGTGCGCTCCAATGCGGATCGCCCCATATGATGCACACCCGTACCTCGCAGATAAGAAGTGATTTCCGGGCACAGTCTTCTCTACGTTTTCTTTATACCTATAAATAGTGTCTTGGTTTTCCAATGTTTCTTTTTTCAAATAGGAATTCGTTTGCTGAATTTCCAAGTAATTATAGCAAGCCATACACTTGTGGAGGAGATTAGTCTTCTCTACAAAATGCTATGTTTCGCTTCGACATTCACTCCAGGGATTTCCCAATTTTCGGCCTGCATAATGGGAGGTCCATTCCGATCGAAAAGTCAAAAAGGCGCATAGGAGCACCAACAACGATCACTTTCTATACTTTCAGGACATCTTCTGAACATTCATTATAAAACTTCCCAACGGGTCGTATCGTTTTACTTTCGAATTTGGATTTTTCGCCACAACTCGATGTTCCAGCATTATTTCCTAATCTAGAGCCTAAATTTTTTGCAATATAAGCGTTTAGAGCACCAAGTGGAAAGTGAAAAAAATCGATTGAAGTATTGTTTGAAGTGATATGCCTGAGTGTGATTTATTTTCTAGGGTGAATCTTTTTTTTTGAAGTAATGTGTTCGTTCTCGTGAACTGGGCATCTTATTACGTGAGCCTAAAATTCGACCTAATTATGAACGAAAATTGAAGCAAAACTTATGATCGAATGGAGCAGAAAGGAAGCAGGCGAATGATATATCACTTGGTATAAGACACAGTAAGAACTCAGAGACAAAAATCAGTTCCAAATCCGCTGTGGTTGGCGATCACCAGAAAAACAGAAAAAAGCAACAAGGATTTTTGACGACCTATCAGGGAAATATTCGGAAAGGTCGATATTAACCAGGAAAGGCTTTCATTTTCCCATGGAACTTTGAATTGAGACCTAGGCGTTGATAGAGCCTGAAACGCTGGTTACAAATATGAAGTTTGAAATGGTGCATAATCCTGCCAGGGAAGTTGTGAGCGATCAAATTGGTCCAAGATTGGATTCCCGGCTATGACAAAAAATTTTATGAGGGCCTGCCGAATGGGTGCCAGATCACGTCATTGCCAAGATAGATGACATGTTAGTAATCGGAGCAACGGTATCCTTGAAAGAAGGCTTTTCTCAAATACCATTACACCAAGGAAGCACACACAACTAATATTGACCATTCATAACTTCCTTGGTAGGTTCACGTAGCATTTTTGATTTCCACATACATGAACCAGCCTTCTAAACTCCACTAACGTACCTAGGTCCCACTTCAAAGCTCGGGAATTTGAAAGCTATCTCTGGAAAGTAAAGGATACAGCGAATTTCCCTCGTCTGGGCCTCTCATTTCGTAGGTCTAGAATTCGACATGTTTGCAAAGAATATGACCGAGAAACACACCGATTCACAGAGCAGACAATTCCATTTCGAATGGTATATGAGCTGACGTAAAAACATGAGATTTTAGGCGGCTATTCTACGCTTGAAAAATAATAACACTATTATTGGACAACCTGAGAGGGAAATTTTTAACAGTAATGCTGCATTGGGAACAAAACTTTCGCCCGGACCGGACTCGAACCGCACCTCTTGCTTACCGGGCAAGTGCGCTACCAGTTACGCTACCGGGGCACCATTTCATGAGTCGAAAGCTGAGTTGGGATGAAATGGTGCCCCGGTAGCGTAACTGGTAGCGCACTTGCCCGGAAAGCGAGAGGTGCGGGTTCTAGTCCCGCCTGGGGCGAAAGTTTTGTTCACAACCCAGCATTCTTGTGAAACATTCGCAAGGCGAACTGCGGCCAAAAACAGCAGTTAACAAACAAAAACAAGTCAAAATAGATTTTACAATGGTGATTACATGCTGGTCATTACTCTACTAGACATTCCCTCACGCCGAGAAATATTGAATGCTTCCTCATTCTGCGTATGGTGCAAAATCAATGCGGGTTCTTTGGCCTCCCAGCCCACACTATAATTTAGAGCGTTGCGAAGAACTATAAATAGTTTTATGCGTAGCCAACTCTACATTAGCGAATCACAGTTCACTCCGGACATCACAGAGGAGTGCACAAACCAGCACCAATCTAGTGATTAAACCCCAGCATGAGATCCAAAATACTACGGCACATGCCAAATTAACCCTGAAGCAATTGCAACGCCAACAAACAGGCAGAAGACGCGCTACTGCTGCGGACAAACAATCGAACAAGACACCATGGGTTATCATATTCTAAACTTCTTTTTAGAGGACAGGAGATATTTCTTCAAAAATAATATCTTAACCAAAATGATTTGCCCCCGGAAATGGTGTATCTGCTTGCAACAATTGTGAATACGCTCCAAAAAAGCGCGCCGGAATAGAGAAGGGATTCCATGGAACGAAATTAAGTTTTAGGGATTCTCCTAAATCATCCTCAAAAGGAAAGGTTCGCATATGGTCAAGGATGACTGTCACTAGAGGTCAGACTGGCGCTAGTCCCGGTGTTTTGCCCATTTTTTAGCGCTATCAGTGCTTTTAACAAATTTATGACATTTATTGCCCTTGGAGCATAGTTGATACCACGATGCATACCAAAGCCTATTGACGACGGTTCACTGATGCTGGTGATGCGCAAAATTATTTAATGGGATCCTTTTATTTTGAATCCTCAAAAAGAACGAAGTGGTAAAGAACTTTTCACACGAATAAAATGGAACGAATAAAATGTAGAGAATATTCAATTTTGCTATCATGTACATTATTAAATGCCAAGAGAAGAAGCCAAAAAATTTATGTATTAAGAATGATTCGATGCTACTGGGAAAGGGGCCTAAAGGCCTTCTTTTCATATCGCAACGGACTCCTTTCTACTGGGAAGTAGACTCATCACGATTGTGCTGGTTAAAATTGGAAATGCTGTCCCCCTCACTAGCCCACCCCATTCAACTTATTGTTGGCATCACCTTTCTACGGGTTCTGAATCATCCCTGAGCGGCATGAAACCCGCAACGAAAAGAACCCTTGAGTAGTATTCCATTTTTCTTATGGCTTCTAGGCGCGACATCTCTGCCAACTGGGGTGTTGGGCAAACAAAAATCCAACCATAACTTCCTATAATAATAATAATAATATAATAATAATAATAATAATAATAATAATAATAATAATAATAATAATAATAATAATAATAATAATAATAATAATAATAATAATAATAATAATAATAATAATAATAATAATAATAATAATAATAATAATAATATAATAATAATAATAATAATAATAATAATAATAATAATAATAATAATAATAATAATAATATAATAATAATAATAATAATAATAATAATAATAATAATAATAATAATAATAATAATAATAATAATAATAATAATAATAATAATAATAATAATAATAAAATAATAATAATAATAATAATAATAATAATAATAATAATAATAATAATAATAATAATAATAATAATAATAATAATAATAATAATAATAATAATAATAATAATAATAATAATAATAATAATAATAATAAAAATGGGATACATAGGGCTCCCAAAGAATGGGATCTCAATGCTCATACAGTTGACTACCTGGCTGCCAATAAGGCATGTATGACTGCTAAGAAACCTCACAACTTCATTGCACTCAGATCCTCAGCAGATCTACACTCACTACGCCTTCGGGTGCAATAACCCCACCTGCTCAGCGGAAGCAGCAAGTGTCTTCGTAAAGTCACAGAAAAATGAATTTGTGACTGGATATGAACTACTAGTGTCCTGCGCAACGCTCAGTAATCACAACCTTGCTGTCGTGCCCAGGAATTCCACGACTGGCCAGATTTGGCCAAAGATAGGAGACAAAACGAACGAAAATGCGGCGCACGTCTCATAGGAAACTAGAAAGATAAGAGTGTAGTCTACGAGAAGTGCTGCATAGAAGCCTCGGTAACTCTTGAAAGGGATAAGCTTAGCTTTTCTCAGCTTTTAGTTTTGTCTGGAACCAATTTCAAAAATGAACTCAAAAGTAGGGAGGGAGAAGTGTGAGTGTGAGCGGTGGAATGCGCAGCATTACACTTCCTTGGATCGAATCCTGCCAAGCTCAACAAAGCGTTGCACTTCTCCAGGTTCCAGCTCCACTTATTCGGCTTACCTGAACTAGGTATGTACTGATTTGAGTGCACGATGGTCCCAAAGGTCAGCACATGGGTCAAGCTGCACCCAAACGACTCCTCGATTCAAAATGAATGCCGAAGCATGGCGCATCACGGAAGGACTGCTGACTTTCTTTCCTGCCTATTTTTGTGACTTAGGTCCGACTCAGAAACGGTCTAACTGTTCCAAAAATCTTTTTGCAATAGTTATTCTGAAATTTGGTCTCCCTTAACACATTCAGCTGACCATCAGACCAACACTACCGTAATCTGGAGCCAAAAGAACTGTAGACCGCATGAAAAAATGTTGTGAAGAAGATCCCGGATGGGAATGCGATGACGTTCAAGAATCCATGCGATTTCCCCATGTGAATTTTTATTTGCTCATAGCGTACGGAAATGTTGGTACAGCGCTTTCAGAAGAACAAAATGATAATGCCCTGAATCAGGCGAGAGCTCCCAAGAAAGAATCTGGGAGGAAGATGATGGTCCGCAAAGAGAGCACTGGCCGATTATCGCCTGGACATTTACTGCATACTTAGTGACTCATGGCCGTCAACCAGCGATCAATATCAAGGTGCGGGGGTCGATCGATCGATAGACACCACAACAACAACCCTCAGCTCAGATCGATTCCCACGATTGGTTTTCGATAAGGATCTGTTCGCTGCAGTTGGAATACACTTGACAATTCACTAAGATGATTTCACTACTCCGTGAGGTCATTTACGGTTTATCAATGGATGAATAATAGGATCGGATTCAGTCCTTTCATCCTTAACCCTCCAACTCGCGGGAAAACTGTACGAAGTTTGCGTTCTCCACGTTGACAAACCCTGACGTGGTCAATGATAAGGAATTAAGTGCGGTTGACACCGATGGGGTCCCAGCGATTCGAGGGCGTTCATCGGTCTCAAATTTTCCTCATGTTTTTCTTGCAGTTTTCACTATCTCCCATCTTCTGCTCAACTGATTTCGGTTCGCCTTCGAAACAATGAACAAGCAAGACTTCGACTGCGTTGGACGTCCTTTATGCTGTGTTGTCCGCAATCGCGCCTCAGGCGTTAATAAGGATCGGAATTTTTCCTTTCAAATTTGGTTGTTTGTTTGGCTTCCTCCCGTGATCTTTTGTTGTTCTGTTTATTACTGAAGGCTCTGTCACTATGCGATTGTCGTATCGGTTCCTTCGATGAGGGTTGCTTTATGTTTTGCCTAATTGTATTTCTCTATTGCGACTGCAAATCTTCTATGAATGACGCTTTGTAATTCCGAGTCCTTAGAAGAGCCTGCATGGCATTTTGTTTTGGTTTCGGAGGTTCTGCGGAAGCAAGTTTTTTTGGCAGCTACTCTAAATAACAAAACATATTTAGGTGCTATACAAGTAGGGTGGGCACGCCGCATTTTTTGAACAGAAATGTATGTAGTGGGACTGCTGCTCGCTACTATACTGTCACGAGAATCGGGGAATTCGTGAGCCAGGGGGAGTGTAGCCAATCTAGGGGGGTGGGGGTGAGGGCAGTCACTTGACATGCGTGAAAAGCTGGGTGTGCCCACCCCACTTGTATAGCACCCATCTTTTACAAACAACGGAAGTGTAGGTAGTACACTTCCTAGCTGTTTTCGCTACTGGAAACTAAGCAGGTATAATGGACTGGTTCTTTCATGAGAATTTTTTCTATGCTGAGGTCATCTCGTTCATTTTGAGTAGGATCGATCGAGATTATTTCGTTCATGTATGTAGGACGTAAGCAAACCAGCCCTTTTGGCGCTTCGGCTGGGACCGTATGCTGAATGTTGGGGAGGGGATGGAGTCCCCGACGGTGGACGGACCACTTCAACTCGGTCCTTAGAACCGCCACAATTTGGTGCTTACCTCAGAACTAAGCCTTAAAGAGAGGACGGGTCCGTCCCCTCTCCAAGGCTTAGTCCTGGGGTGAGCAAACCAGCCCTTCTGGCGGAGCTGCTGGACCAGCTGCACCACTTGCGTCAGTACTCTCCTATCGTACCAACCGAGTTGAAGTAAACCGTCGACCGTTGGGGACCCCATCCCCTCCCCAACATTCAGCATACGGTCCCAGCCGAAACGCCAAAAGGGCTGGTTTGCTTACCTCGGAATTGTCCAAATTCTGAGTCTTTTCCAGAATGGGAATGGGGCATTTGGGCAGAAAAATAAAAACTTTTCGAACCGCGGCAGACATTTTTCCTTCTTGCAAAAGTTTGGAAAAGAATACTCACCTAGTTTCCCTACTTGAAGGAAATGGTTCTTTTTTCTGCTTCACCTCCAAAAACTGAGATTAGCACAGTTGGCGCGAACTCCTGCACCAAAATGTTCCCCCCCCCCCCCCACCTAACAGGCATGGACCGCAAAATCATTTCAAAAGTAGAAAATAAGTGACTTCCTTACGAAACTTTGACCGGCTGCTTGAAGTTCATTTTCAAAATCCTTTCTTCATTCTTCTCCTTTAAACCATCTCATTTTATTTCGCCTGCGCTCTTTCACTTAAATGGCGGCTCACGACTGCTATGATCTCACATATTCAAACTTTTGTCACACTCTTATTGGCTCACCCACCCCGTGGTCCCTCCCGGGGGAGGGTAACTTTGCTTCAAAACTCCTTTCTCACAGCGAAGGAATTTCCTCGAAGATAAAAAAAAACTGGATATGCTGCGAAGAATAGTCTTGCATTGAAGTGTCCATTTTAGGTGTAGATGATATCAACGAATCGCAACCTTGATTTTTGCACCCATTGCATCTGCAGTTTCACACCATACGGAGAATATTGCAGGTACCGCTGATTCGTAGACATGGTGGAGCAGAAGTCGGACACGTCTGATATGCAACGTTTCGATGAAATGTGGCTCCATCTGACTCCAAGAGGTGCCACAGTTCCATATAATCTGTGCTACGACTCGGAAGGAAATGTCTGGGTGAGGTTTGTTACTCTGTACCTCATTTTTTGGGTCATCTATACGGGAAAATATTTCACAAAGAATAATGTCAAACTAGTGCGCATTAGCGGAGCATCATGCAGTCGCATGGAAGAACATCGTTAGGCCTGGTTCTAAACTTTACATTTTCTTTGCTGCTAAAATGTGTTTATGTTTCACTGGCCCGGCTAACAGCATATTTGATTATTCATCGCATTATAGGTAGGCCATTAGTTAATAGTATGGAAAAGCTCGAAATGCGCAGAAGCACACGAAGTGCGGTGGTCCACAGTGGCTTTTGAGTTCGGAACATAGCGGTCCATGGGTGTGGGTCGCTAGAACAGAAGCGAAATTTCCTATTTTCGAAGTGTGAAACTTTTCCGTTGCAGGGACTTCAGATCCACTCATAATTAGGGATGGGCAAGGAGTTCTCACACGAAAGTTTCGTGCTGTAAAAAGCGAAAAAGTCGCTTTTTGTCGCGACCCCCACCCTTGAAACAGCTCCCCCAGATCATATTTGTGGGGTCACAGCGGTAGATGAAGGAGTTGTGGATGCCGAGTTGACTAAAATGAAAAAAGAAGCAAAGAAATCGTGGAAAACCTAAACAAGGATTTCCCTTGAAATAAGGAAGGGTGGGGCCAGACGAGTTGTACGAACTTGCCTGCTCCACGGCTCAACTAACCCGCGAATAATTTGAATTAGCTACTATCGCTTAATCCACGTTGCGTGTCATGGGTGTGCGCTACGTAACTCGTCCAAATGCTAAGATTAGTCGCCAAATGCTGACTTTGTAAGACCCTAGCGCCATTGTCGCGCACTTTCGAGCCGCAACAACGGCACATCTGTGCTACTTGTGGGCTACTCTATCCCACCCTGAATAGATTCGTCGACCCGACTTCTGCTGGGTGTTGCTTTAACGCGCGATACGATATGCAGCTGCTCACCTGGATTCTCTTGAGTAACCCTTGGGAACATAAAAAAGTATAGTTCATCATTGCCGTACTGAACTTCACATGATTACTTCTTCCCAATTTGAAAAGGTTCATCGGGTCTTATCCATAAAGGGTGGCATGTGTTGTGACTGTTTATATCGCCTAAATATTCACGCTTCTTTTTTTTCATGAAGGAAACCTTCAGGATGGGTGCAAAAGCGGAAACGAAATGGTTTACTCACCCCGACGATTTGCTTTCTGCAAAAATCTCCGTTTCTGTAGGCGGCAGCAGCTATCAAACTCATTCCCCCTTACTGGATGAGACCCGGTTTCCGAATAGCACAGTCTAATTCAGGTTGCCACGAAAGGAGGATTGTTCAAATTTGACGGCAGTAAACGAACAACTATCTGGGAGCGAAAGAATTTGTTTCCGAAGAAAATGGCACCCTTTCCACAGGTCGCGTTTCATAATGGCACGGTGAGTTCTCTCTCATTTGTTGTCATTTTTACCGATTTTCTTCCAACTTATTGACCAGTATGAGTGTTGCCAAAATTTACACATTGTTTGATCTCACGTCAAACTTGCAGGCCTTGTAGATATCATATTTAAAAAGTCGGACTCAAAATGGTCTCTACTTTTCAATGTTTTTTTTTTGAGTTCTTAACGAAGGCTGTGAAGGGCTCGGCTCCCCCACTTTCCTCACGACTTGGGGCGTGGCCGAACTGTGCAGGTAAATTTGAGAACGCTCTATCACCACAGTTCGTGGGCACTGTGAATTCGTTCGCGCTTGTCGCGGCCGCGCCCCAAATCATGAACAAAGTGGGGAGCCGAAGGGCTCTGCTCAACACAACTGACCTCATACATTCCACTTGGGAGAATCCCAAAACTCCAGCCTTACCTGGGGAATCCAAAAATGTAAATAAGATATGTTGTTATTCGATTGAACGAAGTTCTAGATTGTGTACACCTGCGCTGAAGATAAAGATCGAACGACAGAACTTCGATTTTTCACGATGTCTGGAGAAATGACACATGAGCAATTCATTGATGGACTATGTTAGTGCAACTATCGCACTTTTTCCAGCCAATTTAGGAAGTTTCATATCGTTATAACTTTATTTTTATGGTATGCATTTCAGTAGTCTCCTTAACGATAGCTGACAATGGTGATATGTATATCAGCAAACAACCCACAGGACCTAGTTCATTCATCTATAGGTGAAGCCAGCGAATCCCTTACTTTTTTTTACTTTTAATAAGATTTTAAACTGGTTCCAATTCAGGGCTTCCATGGATTGTCCACTTGCATGGGAAGAAGTGGTCGAGTCCTCAGCCGACGCTTTCTACACTTTGTGCGCTCTCGACGACAGTACAGTCGTGGCTGCGATGTCCACTCATCCCGTTAACATGTTTTCAAAGTTGGTTTAAAATGACTGGGTCCTAATCCTTCTTGTGAAAAGTTCGTGGCATGTGCAAATTATTTTATCGTATAGGCAGCGAATGGTTCTTGTGGATACAGCTGAGGGGAAAATCCGCTCATCTTTCAGCAAAGAAGGAAAAGAAGGAAGCGATATTTTCTTCCCAAGGGCTATTCGCAAGTAATTTTTGTCGACATATTGGGTAATTTTCGAAGCTAGTAAATATATATTTGTTATGGTATTTAGATATGGAGAAGACATGGTTGTCATGGACAAGTCCGGTCGGTTCATGTGCTTTTCCGTAAAGGGAGAGTACAAAGGGTTGCTTGCTGAGATCGATGCATATCTTGCAAATGGATTCTGTATCAAAGACAACGCCGCTCTCATAGCGTTCAGTGGAGTAGTCCTAGATCAGGTACTTCACATACGGCTGTAGTATCTGTTGTGCAGAAATATGTGCTCCTTTTGTCAAGGCACGCCTGCTTTCCCTAACTCCAGTGAAATGAATTCAGTCAGAAGCCGTGTGCAGCAGGCCCCGGCCGTGAAGGGTCCCCTCGCCTGCGTGGGAATTAGTCTCCGACGTTGGTACATCCCAACCTTGGTGATCTATACCAACGTGGGGAGGGGCTCAACCTTGGGGACGTATCCTCTCCCTCGGAGACATTTCCTCGTTCCCTTACACAGCGAAGACGTTCAAGGGATTCCCACAGGGCCCATCATTTTCCTATGGGATCCCATGGCAAGACTATTTTCAGCGGTCACTGCCTTTAACCCTGTCGTCTCTGCCTTCGATCCTGTTGTGCATCTCTGCCGTCCCTGGATGTATCTCCGGGTCGGGACTCAGGGATCGTTAGGTGATGTCTAGGCAATTCAAACCATGTATCTAGACTAATATGAGAATAACGGCTACATCTATTGAAGCTAAGTGTACCATTCACCTGCTCTTTTTCCCTACCTCTCATGCTGTTGTTCTTTGTTTTTTTTATCACATTCCTCCATTAGAAGGGAGAGTGAAGCTTGCAGCCGTCTGGCAAGCTCACCAGCTATAGAGGTAGCCATACGCATTCAGCTCCATGCATTGTTAACATGCCTTTAATGTACGCAGTGCTTCTCTCACTCATTGGTTTACATGCTCTTTCATGGTTGAAAGTTCCTATGCCATTATCTTTTCGTTCTTTAGGATAATAGGACAATCTGTGATGATTGGTTGGAATGGATCAATCTTGATGGTTCGTCGTGGCGGAAACAAAGGGAGCAGCAAAAGGTGGCTGGCGAAATCCTGACTTTTATCCGTTGTACCTGTGATATGCTCAAGGCCAGATTCACTTTAAAAAACATTCCTGACCCATTTTCTAGTCGGATGCTTTTCATGATGTACAAAGAATAGCTGAAAGTGTTCCATTCCTTGACTGCTTCACATGATATATATTTTTGAATTGAAATCTGTGATTGATCTGACATTCTTCTTTACTTATCATATTTCATCAAAGAATAAAATCATGAAGTGATTGTTATCGAGTTTTCAGCAATTCTATAGTATATTATCAAACACAGTTTCCGAAGTGTGCAACGTAAACGGCTGCTCTCCATAGATGCCATAGTTAGTTGGAATATGGCCGTATGAACGGATAAATTTGAGAGAGGCTGGAGATCCCTATCCTCTGAAAACTGACGGTGAGAAAAGTAAATCCAAATATTGAAGGCTGCCCAACGGTAAGAGGATGTAGCCAGAAGGGTTGCCGAGTTCAAGTATGGAACAGCTGGTGCTACATGACATGAAGGAAGGTTAATGAAAGTACAGAAAGGACTCGAATGAAACCACTCCTCATTGTTGATCAAAGGAATCCTTCGCGGAAAATTCTTGCATTCTTTCTTGACATTAGTGTGTCAGCTGTGATCACTGGAAACAGCACACGAAGTTTCACAAATGCACAAAAACTACATTCTTTGGACAATCGAAGGTAATTCGGGCGGAGCCAAAGGCGAGGCATGGAAAGAAGTTGGCCTTTGGCCGGCTACGTATCAGGCGACGCAATGAAAGAATCGGTTAAAGCGCGCGATTTCGGAGAGTAGAGACAAATCGATCGATAGAATAGGATGGAGTAGAAGTGTAAGATGTGAATGCAACGAAGCAGAAGGCCAGAAAGAGTTCTAGTGAATGCACTCCAAGAACCAAGTGGAAGCATCCCCGTCGCCAGCATTTGTGAAAGACGTCCGTGGGCACTTTGAACGCGTAGCAGCCCTTTCGATTTTTCGAATTTTTACCAAAACAAAAGCAATATTTCTGTTCTTTTCATTCTTATCGTGGATAATGAGTCTCAAGCCAGTGATTTATGGCTGAAATAGAATCATGATTTTTCCGTGAAGGATTCCTTTAAGGCTTTCAAGCGTATGGCGAAGCGATTGCGTGCACTATACATACTACATAAATAACAGAAGGTAGCGGGTAAAGGGAAGGTCCCTATGATGATTGATTACGTTGACCGTAAACCTCCTCTGGTGCAGTGATGATAAGTGCCTTTTGCAGAGTCCATGCTGCCGTTCTCAACCTCACCAGGTTATTCGGTGATGTTCAAAATAAGTGGACACGCGAAATTCATTCTTTTCCCACGCAGAGATGCATTTTGTGGAATCACCAGCGATGGTGTACAAAGTTCCGAGCATGAAAATCAGTTTCGAAACTCACAAATTCACATTCGACGCTAACTTCATAGAGCTTTGATGACCCACAAATCGTTATTATAGTGGAAGTTATGTGGAAAGCTGCTCGAGTTTGGCATTGCTGCATAGTCTAGAGAGCCTGGAAGTGGATATTGTGAGCGTGACAGCTAATGGTAAGTATCAATGACCACGAAGTGCTGTTAATCTGGACATGAAATGGGATTTCTAGCCAAGAAGTTTGTGACCGTTATCTAGCGAATTGCTTTTAGAAGGATAGGCTTTGATTCGACTCTATATTCTACTCTACAGGTAGTTGATAGCCAGTCCGATTTACCACTTCCGTGCTGGTGGGATGTCAAAATGAAAGTATTTATCAGTATGCAGCGAAGGGATCCTTCAAAATGCAAGTTCCGATGGGTCATTTCTCTAGTGTTGAGCTACTTAAGTGGTTGCCATATTGCGACTCTCATACGAATTATACATTGAAGAGGTGAGTTTCATCGAATTGCATCACCTAAATGCCCTACCTAAATGTTGCATTTGGAAACATGGTTCTACTTTTTTGTCTGCATTTGTCACTGCGAGCAACTAAGCACTTGTAGATTAGACCTAGCATTGATGGCTCACACTTCCTACTACAATATCCTGTTGTGAGACATCGTGCCAACTTCCAAAAAAAGGGTCACCAATGCCATTGATAATGTTCGATGAGGTTGATGGTCGAACTTCACCACAGGTCCTCGGTAGTATAGTGGTGAGTATCCGCGTCTGTCACATGCGAGACCCGGGTTCAATTCCCGGCCGGGGAGAATTTTTGCTCCTCCACAATGAGTGCTAAGCTGGCTTCACAGCTGACAGCTGATTCAATGCGCGAGCAATCAACATTCAATCTTCAAATGAAGGAAAGCGTGGGCACCACTATGTAAATGCTTCTACAGTACTCTCCTATAGGAATTTGACCAAATTCGTGGTTGATGGGTATTTATAAACGAACCACCATTCGGGAAATTGCTCGAAACATCAGCAGAAAAGCTTGCTGTCCCCGCGGCCAAATGAACAGAAGACGATCAAAGAACATTCCAAAATGGGTCGAAGGAACTTCCTTGTGTAAGACAGACGACTCTGAGGGTGCCCATTGATCGCAATTTCACAGGTGAAAAATTTGCGGCGATGCTAGCTATGGTCTTCCGCGCTTGTCCATGCGCCCATCCATGGCCGGCGCCGCACCCTCTCTCGCCGCCCAAGGAGAGCATTCAGCGCTCAAGAAAGCAGACACCGATCATGCAGTCGCATCAAATTCAGTCACGAGCAGACGGAAAGAATTCCTATTCTCAGGCTCTGGGCCCTCGTGGTTCTTCATCCCTGCCCACTGACAACTGCTAGAGGGTTGCCTGGTGATTATAATCCTTGCATTTGAGGGCGAGGTAGTGGCAAATGTGATTCTTTGCTAACCATAAGTGTATCGGTAGGGGTCAAATCTCGGATCGAATCCCGGTAAGGTCAACCGTGCTCACCATTCTTGCGGGTTTACTTGTGATAATGAAGTGTAACTCCTGGGAAGATAAAATCACTGACTTGTACAATGGCTCTCTCATTAAAGGGAGGTGATCGAAGATGGGTGAGAGCGTTCGATAATGAACAGGGCCAAACGGAGCGCCTTCAGAGAGACTGTCGAAAACTCGGAAGAAAACAATAATCTGTGTTCGATAATGTGGAGGCGAGTAGGAGTCCTCCTAGTTTTTCATCTCTCGAGTAGAGGAAAGAAAAAGGATGCTTTGAGACCCTGAGTATCGCGGTCTACTCTGATTGGGTAAATATGAGAGCTCTTCCAGATAATAATGGATACACAGTTGAAAAGCAGCTTATTCACGATAATATACTTGAATGTTGTGATTTTTATTACATCATTATTCTGTGTCAAAAGGAGAACCGCTAAAAGCGTAACAGTGAGTTGCTTTTTTCGGCTTAAACTCGAACTCGACCTTCGTGTTGCCATGACGAAATGATACCCAGCGGAGCGAGCACGGCTCAACATTGTCTCCTGACTGTTGAGATTTTCTAATGAAAAAAATTGTCATAAGTTCGGAATAAGCTGGGATTTTTAACCAATTTTGCTACTTGTATAACACAAAGAGGCACAAAAATTTATTTCAGAAGGATTGCACTCCATCTGCGCGGCTCCAGCAAGGGCAGCTTTACTTGGCTGAGACAAACACAGCCTGATGAAGGTGTTACACACCAAAATAGCAAAAAATTCAAAGGGAATTCCTTTTGACCCGATTCTTGGGATTTTTAAATTTTTCTTTCGAATTTTTTCAGATTACTAGGAGTTTTTCTTTTTGAGCGAAATCTTGATGCATTTTTGTGTTTTAGAACATTTAGGCCCTTATGAGGCTTCGGAACAGCACAATACTAAGACATTTTGCTACTGACATACCCCTCGAACATCACAAATAGCAGTCAAGAATGGTTCATTAGTGGGCTGGATAATGTCCAGAGAAAAGAATTCGGGTAGAAAACTGATAATCACTACCTCGACAAACCTTACCCACAAAGTGAAGTATAATAGAAATGAGGTCAAAAGAGTGAAACACAGAACGGAAAGACATCAAGAATTCCAAAAAAAAACTTCGCAAAAAACCACTGGGGCGTAGGCGATGCCCAGTGCCAGTAGTTTTCTGCAGTACGCCTAGGTATGAAACAATACCCAAGCTTTGAAGGTGCTCCTTCGCAGACACACTTTCGGAACCAAAATTTCGGCTCGATAGTTTTCAACCTGCTATCTCAAAAAACTAGCAAATGCTAAATCCATCCAAAATAATTCCCCAAAACGTTCAAGCTTATTTTCGAGTGGCCCTTGAAATAGTTTGATGGAAAGGCTTTATCGTCTCACGGTTTCATAACGGAAGTGTGCGAAACGAAAGCTAGAATACTAATTTCCTCTCTTCCCCAACTCCCCGATGGAGGAATAGAATCTTATTCAGCCGGAAAAGGTGACGGAGCCGCCCCGAAGAGTCAATGTTCCATTACAACCAAGGAAAATTGAACTCAATCTGAAAGAGGTTAGTCCATGTTTATCGACCGTAAGGTACCCGCTCTTCGATCTTTTTGCTTTTAGTGTTTGATAAAAGATGGTCTACAGACGGGCAAACATGCTTACCCAACCCTCGATGACATAAAAAGCGATTGGGGTGATAAGGAGGAGGTGATGGTCAACACTTGGTGCTTCAACATATTTCGGACTGTTTTCGTCTGAAACTGTGTTGGGCTGCTATGTTACCATGACGTTCTGGAAGCTATGCGTTCCATTACAGGAAGGAGGCGCGCCTAAAACGATGCAGCTGATGTGGGAATGTGCGCGAATACGGCCGCCATAGTCCGACCGATGACAGATGATGTGAGTTCAGTGCGTGCTTCACTTCAACACTTGAATTCTTAGGTGAAATATTCAGAGGACAAAAAGATGATGGAACGAAGGAGGAAGAAAAGAAAGGTTAAGGACAAAGATTAATAAATGTTTCTTGAATTAGTTGAATGTGTGCGGTCTCAATAATAACGGTCTCCTCACGTCATTTTGGTTGTGCCAGCTCTTTCGTTTCCGCCGTGGGTGACAAAGTTGAAGGTGGGGGTCTATCATTTCAATACACTTCTGGGTGAGAATCACTCGAGAGGCCACCCGATAGATGTCTCCAACAACTTTCATGACAGTTAGTTTGCGCTCATTTT